TGGAATTCTGTATTGCCACATGGTCGAGCCAAGGATGAGAAATGTTATTGAGAAAACAGAATGTCCCCACAACCTTGTGCCCATGAGAAAGGCGTTTAAAGGTACGTTCATTGCTGCGGGGGGTTATGATAGAGAAGATGGTATCAAAGCTGTGGCTGAAAACCGCGCTGATCTTATTGCCTTTGGTCGTTTCTTCTTGGCAAATCCCGATTTACCAAAGAGATTCGCGGTGAATGCTCCCCTCAACCCTTATAATAGGGATACATTTTATTTGCCTGATCCTGTTGTAGGCTATACTGACTACCCATTTCTTGACGAAAATTAGTGATTTTAGGGCAAGGTACCTTAAAACTTCAAATGTCAATCAAAATTTATCAGTTTCTACATGAATAACTTCACGTGGAAATAAATTATTTGGTTACTTATTTTTGCAACATCTTTAGTGAGTGATCTTTATCTTGGTGCAACTTTTCATACATATACAACTTTTATGTGCCACGAGCCTACGACCTCTCCAGGTAATATTGATATTACTGTTTGGTACGCAACAGTAAGTAATATTTGACGTAACAATGCTCCTATTGAAGCATCTTCACCCAGCGTGAAAGGAACTACGTTCATTATGCCGGTAGATTAAGGGATCTTTTACACAAATTAATGTTAAAATACCGAGGAATAAAGGTAAATTTAAGACGCTTTTCTTAAGCCAAAAGGTCGGTTTAAAAATAAACAATTTTCTTTTTAGTGATAGTTAAAATTAAACAATTTAAGAAAAGTAGAATTAACTCGTGGTCGTCATTAGTATAAGAGCTTATTTGCGAGTGACTTTTCTCCAAAAAAAATGATTTTTTTATCGTTATTTTACTATTCCAACTGTCATATTTGAATTCTTCCTTCACAGGTGGACCCATTTTTTTCTTAACGGTCAAAAAATCAATTATCAAAATCATTTCCAAAGAGGCTCTAAGAAAAATTATGTCTATCAAAAAATAGGGTTGTCAATCAGGATAAGACAAGCAAAAGGAAGAATAAACTTAAGGAATCTAACAACATGTGTGGTTGCAATTCCTCCATGCATAATATTCACAAGTAAACTTGAAGATAAGTGTTGTTTGGTGATCTTTCATTTGTTTCTAATGGGTGGATTAATTAAGACATCCTAATCTTTTTTGGCCAACCTTAAAAGTTCACTTATAAGTAAGTTTANTCATTTGTTTCTAATGGGTGGATTAATTAAGACATCCTAATCTTTTTTGGCCAACCTTAAAAGTTCACTTATAAGTAAGTTTAATAGAAGTAACCACCAAGTTACTTAATTTTAAGCTAAGCAAAATAATCATTAATTTGAAGTTGTAATTTTTTATTTATTTATTTTTATTTATGCTAGTGTTAAAAGTAAGTGTATCAGAAAAGATTCTATTGTATACCAATATATATAAGATGAAAAGGAATAATCTTTATAAATAGTGAAATTCCGAAGAATTCACAGCAATATGTTGGTAAAAATAAACTAATGCAACTAGTTGTTTTGATATAATACTTTTGAATTGAAGTCGTGCACTGTTCTTCTTTTTTACCACTCCACCCCCACCCCAGTTACCAACTAAACTTTGAAAATTATAATTTTATTGCAATTTTATAAATTGTAATATTCATATAAACGAAGGATAGGCATTTTGGGATGCTTCATGCAACATGTGATCAAGACTATGGATCATTAAGTATCTTAGTTTAAACTGTTCGGAAGAAGGATTTGATTTATTTTTCTCAATAAGATTGATCTTCTAATATGTAAGTTTATTCAACATAGTATCATAACTTAACAAATTTAAACGAGCAATTTGATTTGTCTAAAATTCAAATAACATTTGAATTTCTAGATTGATGTCTCAATGAGTAACCATCTTATTAGCATGCTAAGAGTATCTCCAACCACAACACCAAATAACCATTTTTCACCAAATATGTCATTCCAACTCAACGCTAAATCTTGCACCATTTTTAACCAAAATGGTGAAAGTGAATATGTTTCGCACCATTTTACACTAAATTTGATAAAAGTACATTTTACCCTTTTTTAATGTATGACCAACTGATATCAAGGGTATTTGTATCATTTTGCATTATACATAAAATATAATTTGTAATTAATTAATTTATTATTATTATTATTATTATTATTATTATTATTAAGTACAAATTTTGGTGTTGCACTCGTATATTTGATTTGACAAGATTCTTGCTGTCCAATGTGAAAGATAAGAGTGGAGGATGCTGTCAGAGTTTATTTATTTTTTATTTTTATTTTTTTGTTTGTTTATAAATTATATCTTTAGCCATTGTTTGATTTCCATTTTTAAGATAAAATGTATTATGGAATAGTGATTTTTTGGAGAATGTATAATTAAAAAGTAAGATTTTTTTTAAATACATGTATAATTATTTTATAAAAGAATGTGTGGATGAAATTAAGTTTTGAAAAAATACATTCTCAAAAAAATAGGACTCAAACAAGGGATTAATTCTAAACTTCTGCGTGATATAAACCCACAAACAATATCTTTATTGTAAGTGAATCAATGTCAAATCATTAATGTCCCAAACAATCCCTAAGAGCATTTTCAAAAGATTTTTTTTTTTTTATTTGTAAAGAGTATCTTGTGCATAATATAGAGTATTTATAAATCTAAGAGTAAATTTTTTTATATAATCTAACAATGATTATTTAACGTATTTTTTTATATCAATGATTAACCAATTCCAATACGATCTGAATAATTTAAATTGAGAATTAGAATTTATAGCTTATTAAATATAATTATCGTAAATGAAGAGAGATTGTGGATTTGGCTCGCCAAATTTGAAGAGTCAAATTCACTCTCTATTTTGAGAAGTTAAGTAAATAATGTCTTGAAACTTATTTTAAATATTAACTCTCTAAAGAATAGAGCAATTTTNGTTCTTCTACACTAAATTGTATTCTGATTTGTTTTGAGTTTTACTGGATGAAATTCTTGTTTGCGTTTACTGAGTTTTGATACTATATTATGTCTTGACCTCTATTTGAGCCAAATTTTTAATTTAAAAAATAAATTTTGTAATAGTGATTTTTGAAAATTGTGTGGTTAAAAAGTAAGAAAAGTTTTAAATTTATGTGTAACTTATTTTATTAGAAGAATTTATGGTTGAAAATGAATGAGGAAAATATATTTTGAAATAATGGGGCTCAAACGTGGGCCAATATGTTCTATTTTAAGGTTAATCTTATAAAGCATTTTTAAGAAATTCTAAATATAAATGCTCTTTATTTTAAAGAGATAATATTTAAAAATAAGTTTCAAAAGATTCAATATTTTAACTTTTTAAGACGGAGAATGGGTTTGACTCTCCAAATTTGGAAAATCAAATTCACTCTCTATTCTTAGAGCACCTTCAAGAGACTAAGAGTGCGTTTTTCAGCCATTTTCATTTTTAGTTTTCGAAAATGCCAAAAACGTGTTTGGTCACTCGTTTCTGAAAATGCATTTTCAAAAACGAGAAAAAAATTATAACTAAAAATTCAAAATGATTTTTTTTTTTTTTTTAGTATTTTCAGTTAAAAAACTCAAAATGCTGAAAATACTCAAAGCACGCTTTTTTTTTAATACCTAGGAGATGGTTAACAGTACTTCTAAAATAGTAAATTCACCAAATTAAAAAAATATATTATTTGGTAATAGATTAACAAAAATTATTATGTTTTACTAAATAATCAAATTAATTGAATAAATGTCATAAAACGATTTCTAAAATATTTAATTTTTTAGCAAGAAAAAATAGTAAATTCAAGATGTTTAAAATATATATTATCTGGTAATATATTAGCATAAAATTTTTATGTTTTACTAAATAAAAATTAATTGAATAAATTTCATAAAACAATTTCTAAAAATTTATTATTTATTATTTTATTTTTGTAACAAGAAAAAATAGTAAATTCACCGAGTTTAAAATATATATTATCTGGTAATATATTAGCATAAAATTATTATTTTTTACTAAATAATCAAATTAATTGAATAAATGTCATAAAACAATTTCTAAAAATTTTAAACCAAACACATTTTCTAGTTTTCTATTTTGAGATACCGTTTTTCAAAATGACAAATCAAAATACGAAAATAGTTCCTCAAAATAGAAAACTAAAAATAAATTCAAAACTGAAAAAAAAAAATGGAAACGCAAACCAAACGTACCCTAATATTTTTAAAGAGCATATTTTACAATTTAGAGGAAAATTTTTAAATACTCCAATAAACTCTTTATATTTAACACTTTTAATTTTACTACTCAAAAAAAATTTGTTGTTTTTCCTACCTTTTATTTCCACTAGCTTTCTTTCAAATTATATTTTTTTCTTCCATGGAAAATTAAAATACTATGAATGCATTTAATTATATAGAGTAAGGCTGATTCTCTAAATTTGGAGAGTCAAACTTACTATCTATTTTAAAATATTAATTTTTTAAAACATAATTTTAAAGGTTGACTATTTAAAATAAAGAATGTATTATATTTAAAGAGCCTCATGGATGTGCTCTTAATGCACAATGATTGAGTTTGATAAGTCACATATTTCAATACTCTACTCCTTATTATATTCAAATCACATTTAAATTAATTGACAATTGACATATAAAAAAATATGTTAAATTAAAATATGAGGAGTCAAAAATAGAGTATTATTGAAATGCATAAAAATGTTGACTTTCTAAATTTAAAGATAATCTTTATAATACATAAAATATTCTATATAAATAAAGAGTCTCTTGGACATGTTTTGAAATAGGTAGCGGAATCCCTTGTACTTTGTTTACTGTTTGCATCTTTATCCGTTGAGAGATTTCTTCCATTAGTAGTTTTCGGATAAAAGATAAAATTTTATTTATTATATTATTTAATTTTGTTTAACAAACATGCATGTAAGAATTTTACTTTTGACGGTACAGATCTTAAACATTTACATATTATAGTGGTAGAAATCCCACGAGTAAAACATAATGTCCTTAGTACTTGATAGGAGTTAAAAGTGGCAAATTCTAGTACTTCATGAAATTAGTATTTTAGAAAGTTCGTCCAGGCATGCTTAAGCTTGAGGCTCAATAAAAATGTAAGGCCTCGTGCTTGGCAGAAAAATAGACAGTCTACTCTAGATCACCATCTAAGGTGCATCTAAACAAAAAAAGTTGTGCGCAACAAAATGCTCAATGATTTAAAACTTAAGAAGAGATAATTCCAAACAAAAGTCACATCTTAGCTCAAACTCTTTCTTTGCCCACGAACAAAGCATTATTTATTTTGAGAATTATGTTTTCGTTGAAAACTTGAAAAACATGTATGAAATTTTTATAAATTTTTAAGGTATGTATCATTTTATTTATTTATTGGTTTACAATAATCAAAATAATATGAAAAAATGGGAAAATGTTATATTGACCTAATAGTGTAAATGAGTCGAGCCGAAACTTGAGAATCGAGCTCAGCTCGAATAAAATAGTTCAAGTTTTTTTACGAGCCCGAGCCTAGTCAAGCTTTTGCTCAGCCCAAGTCGGCCAAACTCGATTTTGATTTTGGTTTTTTTTTTTTTTTTTTTTTTTC